GGTAAAAATTTACCCTTTTCACAAAATAATGGGCATATTCAAGTCAAAACGCAGAGGACAAACTTTAATTACTGCTTTAAAGCACTTACTCTGGGGAATAAAATAACGATTTCGACTATTCGTCAAGTTTTTGATTTTTTATTGGGTACTTTAGAGTATTTTAAGAAATTGATGTTTTAAGTTCGAATAGTTGATTGCGTCTTGACTAAAGTGGTTGTAGTACTTCAAACTAGAAAAATGAATTATATAGTTGTCTAGGTTTACCGTTTTAGCTGATGAGCTCGTCGATGTTGACTTTGATCTATTTCATCTATCAATCTTTGCCAATTTGTGTTGCCTTTAAAGAATTCATTTTAAACCTGAGTTTCCTTTTGCATCCTATTGTTTGTCTCCTGCTGGTAATCCTCCCAATCTTCCTATTTTGACTTGTTTTTATGTGCATGAGCTTGTTTTGATGAATCCATAGAAGAGGATATCGATAGATATATTCATATTTATTGCAGAAAATTGACGTACGCACTTTGATTACAGTCTTCCCAGAAGTCGCAATAGCCCAAAAGAGTATGATAGAACTCATATATCCACTATACAGAAGATGTGGAACGCTAGACGCATGAACGAAAGTCCATTTGCAAAGCGAAGGTGCAGTCTGTGGAGAATAAAGGCCTAGCCCAATCAGTCTTACAGTTAATTAGAAAAAAATCACCGCAATAAAATATAGCAATGTAAACACTGCACGAAATATTTAATGATGGTAGTTTTTCAAATGGATTTGGGAATCCGTGTGCTGTGTAGTTCCCTACAATACCCACCCTTCAACTCTCAGGTAAAGCTAAGAAAGTCATTGCAAAGTCATGCTATGTCGTTTAACTTTATCATTAGGCTCCTCATATCATACTGCTCTGCTGCACATCCGTTCAGGCAGGCCTATTTACTTCGCCTTTACATCAATACCGCATCCGCACGGTCACTTTAATTTATGCAAGACTGTTGTGTCCTTACGAGATTCTTGTATAACTAATGGTCGGTGAGAATTTCGATAATCTGATGAGCATATTTGGTAACAAAGCTAGAACCAATTCTTTCGGCAAACCTGTGACCACTGCCACCTCATCTGACACACGCACCAAGTAAGAATAGAAGTCACTGAGGTACGGAGTAGGTGGGGGTCTAGTATATGCATGGGCTCAAAGTAAATGGTTTTGTTTGACAGGGTAGGCCACAATCCCAACTGCACTTCTACATACTTCTTCATAGATTTTCATTCATTTAGCTTAAATTACTTCTTTGCTGTAGCAGTTCAATGTTTTATTTAGCTCCGCATCTGTACTAGTTGGATTCATTGATTTTTTTAGGTCAGCAAAATGGATGATACTGTAGAGGTCACTAGTTCAAGTAAGTAAAGCCTTGTTTACGAACAGCACATGAAGTTCTATACAAGATTCTTTATGCGAGAAAGCAACATTTTTTCAGCTGTACAATTTTTAACCTCTGTACTTCCCCTTTGTAGAGGAGCCAACTTCTGCCATAATTAACTTCCAAAATGTAAAAGGGGACACCGACAGTACATACAAAATGGCTTTCTAGAATAACAGGAGTCCTGTTGAAACTGCCCACTATCGACACAATGGATGATGTGACAAGTAGGTTCGCAGCAAAGAGTGGCGAATGCAGGCACCACATGATGCAGATATGGGGACTTAACTTAGGGAAAATAATCGCACCGATTAAGGACATAGAGGGTCGCGCAATCCATCCCTTCGAGCAATAATACAAATGCGCCGCTTAACGAAGATTGAATGGCGTGAAGGGAGACTCTGAACTCTGATCACTCGGTGAGGACAGAAGATCCCAAGGGTGATGGCAGAGTGTTTAAACAGACCACAAGTCTAAGACTAAAACCACAAATAATTACGAGATTGGCAAGTGACAACAGTAATAAGAAAAGAGGTTAGCGTCAGTTTAGACTAACTTCGATCAGCTGTGTGGAAGTGAATTCGCCAATCTCTCAACCAGTGCAATTAGGGTGCTAATTTATCGCTGTCATTTACGATGGACCCGGAAGCCATAAATTCTAGATGTGTGGTTGAAACCAGAATGTGGATAGTGTGGGTAGATGGAGTCAACTTGAATGGAGCCATGCAACAGGGTGGGGGGGGGGGAGGAGGGGAATCCATGTATGGTGGCATAAGGATGAATAAATAGCGAGATGAACCGTAGATAGCTGGATGAAAGTACACAGAGAGGGTGCATGAATGAATGGATTCACGGTGGGTATTAAATATATGTGAATGCGTGGCACATGCATTGGTGAAAGGATTTTTTGGAAGGATGGGTACTGGATGGAAGCACATATATTGATAAACGTAAGAATTTGTGAATTAATTATGGATGGCTAAATTAATGACAAGCCGAAAATTAATTGCGTGCCGGAAAATTTTATTACTATCCACGCATGGAGCTCTTGCAGATGATTTGGTAACAAACACACAACAAGGGTGGAAGGTTCAACATTGGAGCGTTTTTCATTGATTAAATCAAATTATCGTTTATCAAAAGCTAACCTATTAAGCATCTACTTTGTTGCTCTTCTCCTAACTAACTTCAATCAAGGATGTCATTTTAGAGAATACTTTTATGACCTTTACCTTAGCACGCCCATTCCATGCATCAGAAAGAAGGGAAAGACAGAAAGGAAAAAAGTGTACAAAGAAGGAAATAAAGGAGAAAATGGCAGTCGCAAGAATACTAGCCTTAAAGTAGGATCATTTGGTAAAGGGCGGTGTTATTGGGAACAAGGGTTTCTGTCTGTTTCGCCTTGCCACTCTGTTCTCACTTCGGCGCTACTCAGCCATATCCGTCTGGATACCATCCAGTTAGTAGGGAGGTGGAACAGGTATCGCTTGTTCAATCCATTAACATCTTTTTTACAAGTATCCTATGGGCATTTGGCTCTTAAGGTAGAGTTTGCTTTCCGCTGTCACCAATTTATTGACTCGATGCCTGCCTGAAGATGAAAAAAGGCCCAATACACATCACCTATAGAAGGGCATGTTTGCTGCTGCCATGGCCCAAAGACAAGGCCCTGAGCAGGATAAGATGGCAGAGCTTCAAGTGACCTATTACCAAAGCCAAGAGTTAAATAACTGAAGTGTTACATTGACGGAAAGCTTAACCGAACTAGGAAAAATTGTCTTAATGAAAGACGGTAGCAAGTCAAATCAGAGATATAAAATTTAGGGAGCTCTGCAAATGTTCTTCGTTATCACTCTGAAGGGGGTTTGTTTGCCCAGCAATAACACTGAAAAGAAAAGCTCTTCCATCACAATGACCGCAAAATTACCCAATAGATTACTTTCCAAGGGAAAGTGAAAAAGTGGGCGTGGATTGTGTCAGCATGGTAAAGAGCGAAGAAAGTATTTAAAGTTCATTTTTCCTTTAATCGGTTTCGAATGAACGATTACCTCTTAATAATTAGGAGCAAAACACCATAAGTTGTGCTTAAAATTCCGCAAAAAAATACTGTGGTGTCATCTTGGTGCAATGGCTTCCATTCAGCGGATTTCACTTAGTCGTTCTAAATAAACGCTATGATATTTGCGCCGTATAGTTGTACTGATCTTTTCCTACCTTTATGCCTACCTAATTGTACTTCGCAAGGCCTTACGAGCGATATGGATGTTCCTATACAACTAACTGTCTCAGCTCATTGTGCCAGGCGGTGCAACTAGCAAAGTTCAAGTCTGCCAAAATATTCTGCTGAGGAACTAATAAATTGCCTGCATGCATTCTGCAATGATGTCGACTGTAATGAATTTTCCCAAAGTTGAAGATTTATTGACTCCTCTTCGGATGAAATGGCGACATTGTGATTGAATTACTGTTGCTCCGATATTCGCACCCTGTCTAGACATTATTTTGAGCAATAAGACGTAAACATTAAAGGTTGTGTTGCCTTGACATCCTAAATGAACACATTCTCTGAAGCCATATACATTCCTTTACGTGTCACACAACACAAAATCGGCTTTGTGACTTTAATCCATTAACTGTTTCACGGAAAATGATGTCATTTTCCGCTTCCCTTACACGAAGAATACATGTACCTACGTTTAACAAATACTCCAATTCCTATTTGATAAGAAAACTATTAACGACTGAGCCGGCATTCAGGTTTAATGATCTAGGGAGATGCTACAAACTGCACCTTTGCAAAGATGTTAATTACATAAACATGCTGCTGTGCCTTCAAAATTTTCTCTTTAACCTCCAGCATAACTTGTATGCCTTTTTGGATTCTCGCCCTGATCAAGATGATCCGACAGTGTGAACGACCAAACTATAAAAAATAGAGATTTAATAACAAATCTGCAGAAATTCCATAAATTAAAAAATTTACGCTTAAAACTGTCAATAAGTTTGTTTAAAGCGTTCATTTTATCTGCTGTATCCCTCAAACTCTAAAAATTTGCTATACTTAACACTGGATGAGGTGTGATATGGTCCAGGATGATCATCAGATCATTCTTGTAAGTAGATGATGAATACATTAAATATAAATAAACACTTATAATTCCAGAAGTTCTCTTTAAATGTCCTTAGAATTTTGGAATCTAATATTTCAATTTTATCCCAGCGCAACAAATAATATAGTTACAATGATCGCTTTTGAGGAATCCTATGCAAAACGGAGTATTCACCATTGAGGCATCATTGGCGAAAGTGTGAAATAATTCACCGTACTGCAGATCACCATAATCAAGGTAATTTCTCATTATGCTTAGGTGAGGTAAGAGACAGCAATATATGCTCCAGCGGCCATGATATCTACCATGTCGGAGGGCAAGTCGTTAGATAAAATCCATTTCCCTCATATGATGATCAATAGCCAGAGAAGCGTTTCGGTAGGAAGTTGGTGAAGCCTGTGGAAACAGCATTGCGTAAAGATGTTTATCAATCCAATAACACTAACGTATGTGCTGATCCATTATTTCAGAGGATCGACCAGTTGAAAGCATCCACCTCCAATTTGGAATAGTCGAACGGGCATTCACTAGATGCTGAGCATCAAGGACTTAGCATATTTTTGATGCTAATTCAGGTGGAAGGTAGGTGATTTTACAATGCGAGCTATTTTGTGACAAAATGATTGAAAAGCATGCGATTGTCAGTGGCGTGGAAATCAGATAAATGAAATGTGGTGAAAGCGAAGTAAATGCTTAGAGTAGAAAGTAGAGAATAATATAACCCACCATCATCAAGAGAGGCTAGCATAGATTAACTGCGTGACAGAGATGTAGAGGTTTAAATAATTTTTTTTTCTTGGGAGAAGTATTAGACTGACCTTACAACGATGTCAACTCATTGGTTCTCTCCACGTTGTCCAATTGGGAATCACACAGTCACCACCCCTGCCTAGCTCACCTCCGTCTGATAATAAAGAATGCAATAAATGACAATGAGAACCCGTAATCCTCCGTGCACACTGAAATCTTGCATCAGCAATGGCATCGATACCGCTGCCTGTTTTACTGCCAATAAATACCTACCCGATGTGACAGCAAACCAATCCTTAGGGAGTCACTGCGCGGTAGCAGTTTGTGTTATACGTGTCAAGCGGCATTCGAATTAATGAAATACTGGCCTGTAAAAAGTGTTTAAAGCTTGTAGAATGCAATATTGTTATGAGGAATTAAATTTGAAAAAAACCCTAACATCAACTACAAAACTATAAATAATTTCAGGGTGCTGCAAGCCGAAGCATCAGTATAAGTGGAATTTGTTAAGGTGAGAGAAATTATGAAACCAGAACAGCCTAGCTTTGATGCAGTCATCCATGTTCCATGTCGCGTTGTCCTTCTATACATTAGCTAAGGATTTCATCCCATGTTGGTGTACTGGGTAGTCTCGTCCGTCAGTGGCGTAACTTTTCCTGGAAGGAATGATGATTTATTGGGCCTTCACTCCCCTGACCTACCTGGAGGTTGTAGTAACGTTTAATTTTAGCTGGTTTTGCTTTCGTATTTTTGTAAGTTAATTTTACTCATCCTTAGAGCTGTCCCTCTCCCTCAGTTCGCTTGTAGGCTACGTCATTGAGAAATAAACAAATCACGTCGCCTCAACTCAGTTTAGTTTGAACACCGAAATCCCACCTGAATTAATTAATAGGTGCCCTTGTAAATACTTCCTTGGGTGGAGATTTAATCTCGGTGACTTCACTTCTATTGCTTGCCTAATGCAGATCTGCTATGCGATGTTATCGAGCGTGTTACTGTCACATTAACAGTCGTAGAGGACTCAAACGGATTCGATTCAATCAGGTTCAAAGGTGCTACAGTGTTTTGAAAAAGTGAATTCGTGTTTCTTGTATCTAGATTAGCATTAGAGCAAGCCCAGGTATTTGCACACAAAAAATTAAACGAAAAACCAAATAACAGAAGAAATCAAAGAGCAATCTTGAAAAAGTTGCCAATTGTAGTGGCCCATTTTGTGGGTTTTGAACAAATTTTTACGAAATATCGCTCCTGTGAGAAAGTTAATGTGTCCCTCTACAGTTCACTTTCAGCACATTCTGTTCCAGTCACAACTACTAGTTTGTGGCCCATAATGGAGTAGAATTCAGAATAGCATCAACTGAAATGATTGGAAACTGTGAAGCGCAGCGGCCCGGTAAAATGAGAGCCGAGGATCAGCTAAAGCCGATCACCGGGAATTCCAAGTCATTAACGCCTGTGATTATTCTGTATTTGCTTAACAAGAAGTGGCCTCCATTTTTTGGCATCCGCCGCTATTAAAGGCATGGAAGATCGTTATTCGCGCCTCCTGTAAACCATTGCGATGACCAATGACTGGGAGTGCAGAAAATCTGGCTTCACGAATGATGTAAGCATATGGATTAGGAAACGGCTATCTCCATGCCATCGGGGTACCATACTCTCCTCATATTTGTCAGTACGTGTTTGCAAAGTCGAAATCACAGAAGAAGAGACTAGGAATTCTCCGTAACTTTAAGCCTAGTATAACACCATACCACAAACTACCCATTTTTGGTGTGCATGGCGTTTGTTTGCGTCTCAGTAGCATGCCTTTTACTGGTTCACACCTGATTCCCCTCAATACTACAAAGAGCAAATGAAATTGCCTAGATAGATGGAATGCACCAAGATGGAAATGGCCGTAATAAAGAGGTAAAGAGAATGCCTTTCAAAATTTATGCCGAAAAAAACTCCCTCATGATGTGAAGAAATGCGCAATAAGTGTGATGAATGAATGAGCATAACAAAATTCATTCTTCTTCTTCCCGACCCCTACAGCTGTCAACATTAACAAGCTCCCTTTCAAGACCACAATTATGAGCTGTGATCTAGGAAACGTAAGGCCGATTTTGTGGTTAATACCTCCAATCCGTGTTCGCAATGCTAAATTACTTGTTAAACGATGGTTTGCCATGTCAACCTAATTTGTTAAGGGTCAGTTAGAAACACGCAAAGGGGTGAGGTTGATTGGCGCATGCACTACATGAAACTCGATATGCACGAAACAGTGTAGGATGTGATACCAATTCTCACATCAAAAAAAGCAGCCCAAGCTATGTCATTTCTGCATTTCTGCATTCTCGGTCAGGTAAACCCCACATTTTTGATCAACTGATCGCCGTTAGCGCATGGAGAGAGCAAAATTCAATGAACCTCCTTCTCATTCTCACTCCAAACCTCTATATGAGTGATGGATAACAGGGCCCAAGTACACTGTTGACCCGTTCGAAGCAGGCACAGAAAGAGCTGCTCTGAGTGCGTTTCGAATCGCCTCCTTGTGTAGAACCTTTGCACAACACGGTCCTCAATGAATGACATTTCCAATGCTGCAGGGCTTTTTAGCAAGCAGCATAGAAATTAAGAACCAGGATTACAGTTGTGACATCAGATTTTTCCAAGCGGGGCCTACGACAGGGCACCAAGAGATTAACAAATTCAAAATACAAAGAGAACACATGGGGGACTTTGGCTTCATGAAAGCACTCTCTCTCTGCCTTAAAAACTGCATTTATTAAATTTCGCAGTTCCTATGGGGATTCAAAATGGTAGTGAGTGAAGCCGATTGTCGATCACGTGATGCTTCGAAAATGGGCTACTTACACACATCAGAATCGTGTAATTGCGTCGAAACAATTTGAGAAACTTAACGGTTATTCAGATCAATGATTTTGTTAATCTATAATAAAATTAGCTGGCTACAAATGCTCTCGTAGGTATTTTGAAAAGAGGAGCTTGATTGCATTACCCATAGCACCAATCAATGCGGTCTTGATAAACATGTAGCGTCCCGAGACTTCCCTGAAGACGAAAGAAGACACAATACTTGGGCAGAACATATATTCAGCACAGAGAAGGTGTCTGGGCTATTGGCATGGCCCGAAAGGCTAGGCCACCTAGTGAGGTACAAGAGGGCTCATTCAAAGTCCAAAAGTAGTGCTTTACCAATACCAAGGGATAAACCACTATCGTATTACAAACAGATGTGTGTAAGGTAGATCATAACGGATCATTTCGTTCTGTAGCCGTAGAATAATTATTGAGTGAGCTGATTGGTACATAAACAAGAAAACTGTTCACAATAGGGTTAAAATTAGAAAAAAAACACTTTTTAAATTTTATTCCAAAACTTAGTGAAGCTCTAGTATGTAGAACTCCTACTTTAGCAATAGCGTGCCTGGACCAAGACGTAGTTAAGGTAATTTGTTTGCAAATCGGTGACAAACTTGCATACCAGATCATCACTCAAATATTCAGCAAAAAGTCTAATTTAAGGGTAACCAAGGCTTAGAGTCACTTAGTTTCTTGCCTGAAAAGGGTGGTACCAAAGTTTTAGTGCACGTGTAAAAGCATTTTAATAACATTGATAAGGATACTGATTCCGCTTTTGATTGGAGCACTTGTTTGGAAGCCGTGTAAATAATGTTTTCTAGGTCAAAGAATTCAAGTTTACATAAACCTAGGAAACTCCATTCTCTTGAGTACTTAAAGTAAGATGTCTGTAGGACATAAATGACGTGACGCAATGCTTTTATATCAGATGCATTTGAAGTAGTTATTTTGTACGTATGTGGAGTTTTGGCCCCCTTGATTTGTTCGTAACTGATATGACGACTTTTGTGAATATCAAACCAAAAAATAATTGTTTTTGCACTCCTAGAGATGTGAAACTTCTCTTGACTAGTTCTCATTTCAAAGCAAATACTCCGGTTCTATGATTTCTGGTTTTTCGTTTGCATAGATAATAGAGCATTGACTGGAAAAAGTCATTAGGTTTGTTGGCAACAGCGACTTTGTTTTTTTTTGCAGATATTATACGGGCATTTGCACCGATTTAACTGTTGCTTAAAACTATTATCAGAAAATGCACCTTGATTTCACTTCGTTGTTTTGGCGTTTTATAAGTCTTCAGCCCCTGATTTCGTTAGTAATCCATCATCCCACTTTATTGTGTGGGTTGTTCTTTGTTTATGTCCTTGTACTCTGTGTTATGATCGATTTATGTTGTTGGCCCTTTGGGACCCATAGCCTAACATTGATGCGACATCTCCTTTAACTTAGCTATCATTTACTAAGGTACTGTGAATAGTTTCGCCTTTATCTGGTTGTGGTGCTTCACCGTTAAGGCCATTAGTTTTCTGGACTTTTTATCAACTGACATGTATTTGCGATCGGTATCGCAAAGTAGTTGATAGTGTAACGCGAACTGTGCATTAAATTTATGTGTAGGGTTTATTGCAATCAGTAAGCAGTTGACTTAACTCCGTCGTGTTACCAGTCGTGCACACTTGGAGCCATTGTTTCGGGGTTAGATAACCCATAGGGTACACTGTTTCCAGTTCGAGCATGACGTTCTGGTTGGTGTGCTTTTGTTCTTTTTCCAGGTACCTCTATTATGTGCTTCAAAAGAACTGCGAATCCGCAGATTGTAACGCCGACGAGGTAGTTGAATGTTTGCGCCTCTTCTCCGAGATCATCGTATGGGGTGACCAAAATGACGGATCAATTATGGAGTAATGCCAGCTACCACTAACTCTTTCCATTTTAGCTTCTTCTGGGAGCAAAATGCCCTCGAATTGCTCATTCGCTACATTGAGCGCCAACAGGATCGCAGCGTCTGCATTCAACTCCTTCAAACGCTCAATATCCTCTTCGAGAACCTCACTAACAACCGTGCAATTTGTAGGTCTTTGACGGCTGTCATTAACTCCCTCTCCGGTAGATTACCTCCTCTCGCAGAACCACACCAATGGCATAATTCTGCATGATTTTGACTTCAATGACGAGGAGATTATTGGCTACTATATTGCCTTTTTGAAATCCCTCACTTTCCGTATGAACGAAGATACTATTAACTTCTTCTACGACGAGGCACATTCAAGCTTTCCGGTCTACCAAAGGGCCCTGCGGTTTTTTAACCACTCAGAGAATATGGTGCGAATAGCTGTGCGAACTATCACACTCAACATCTTCAAGGGTTCGTATTTCTATCGATGGATAGGAGGACATTTGAATAAAAACGGTTTTTGGACTCTTAAATAGAAAGAACAGACTGCAGGGGCAGAAATTGTACTGATTCCACATATTCTTATGCTACATATACGCATCCTAGTGCTCATTCCAGATGTTTTGGTATGTCTGAACCATTCTGATGCAACTAATGTGTACCGACTTTTTGAGATCGGAAATGTTCTTCAATAGCGGTATTCACGGTTCCCATTGACAAAACCTTTCGCCTCTTGTCTCATGCTAGGAGCCGGATCACAACTAACGGACGGACGTATGGTCGTCTTTGAAACGTTCGCGTCAGCTGAATGTCTACCTGCAGCGCCGATCATTATTACTCATAATAGGACAAACTTGAAGCTTATTATTGCACATAATGTCGTCGCAATAGCATTCCCTTCTATGTCACTTTCATTTTGTCGCCTCTAGTGCTTCTCGTCCATCTCGCCTTATTTACTCCATCGTCGAGATGTACAGATTGCGTTGGTGTTTACCCAGCATAACCTAGTTTAATTTAGGGTGCTAACTCATCTGTGTCTTGCTTGTAGTTCGTCACGTGCCTTGTTCCCTCTATGTCTACGCGCACACCTCGGTGCCGTACTTTTCGCATCTGATGGAGGAAGTTCGCAAGACCGCGTGTGCTATCAACGAGTCACTATGCCTTACGAATCGGTAGGCAATAGAATTTTTCACTTCGCATTTGTCTTAGCTAATATGCGATCTTGCATTTCTTTGGCATCTATACGTGATCATAAGATCCCCGATTGACCAATAGGGTTTGGGCTTTTGTCGTCAGGCTCCCTCGTTACCTTTTAGCCCATTTTCCAACTTGTCTGCTGTAAAAGTTTAAACAATAGTTAAATTTCTTATTTTAAAGTATTGAAGCAAATACTTGTTCCTTTTTACCACCGAAATTGTTTGTTCCCATCCTTTGCAACGCCTACTATTATAATTACTTTCAGCCAAAATGTCTTGTCCACTGTTGCTTGGATCATTGCAGAATTGTTGCGAAAACGCATTCAGCTGTTAAATTTGGTAGTATTTTTGCAGTTTTTGCCTTCTTGGCTAAAAGCGACTTGATCTAAAAGCTGCTAATGCAGTGATAAGGTATCGGTCAGCCTTCTAAACATTATTGAAGCTATACCCCAAGTAGCATCATTGTTGCAATACGCCAGTAGAATTTAGCTTTTTGACCCATTCTTTCGTGAGATTTAGTCGAAGTTTAATACTTTCTTAATAATATCAACTGGTCTGAAGTTACTAGATACTTGAAAATGCCCAAAATTACCATGAAGAGTTGTTTTTCACGACTATACGAATATTCTGCTCTGGATTGCAAATATGGTACAATACATATCATGAAGTAGGCAAAGTAATTCTAATTTACCTCGTATAACGCTGGATACTTCCTTTTCCATTATGACCAAGTTCTTTTTTTGTGGTGACTTACAGTCAACCCATAGGGCTTAACCTCAGGAGATACTTATGCTTTGACATTCAAATCTTACTTTTAGCTTTTACACTTTTAGTCTTATTAGCTGAATCGTTTTAAATTTTTATTTCTAATCAAAAACAAGTTATTTGAACGCAGGTTTACGATTGGCGAAATGTAGCCAGTTAAACTGTTGCCATGGTTTCAACCATCAGGGTTAAGTTTCTCACGCAGAGCTAAAAAATTTGTGAGACTTGACATAACTCGCAAAACGTATGGAGTAATTTCTATGTGGCACAAAACGTACGTGTCAAGCTGTCACTGCTTCTTTACTGCTTCCTACTACTTTTCTGTCATTTGTTAACCTCAAATCATAAAGTGTTGGTTGAGTAATTCCGCTTTTTATGATTTCGGCTTGTGTTTTACGAACCGAGATTAGCGCGTTTCCGCGACCCCGGATTCCTTTCAACTATTTTGTATGGTGCTTAGCGAAGGTGTGGTGAGTGACAAACGTACCGCCCGGAAGCGATTCAAATTAATAATGTGGTTTTTATGACAAATTACTCAAAAGTAGCTGCATTACATTCAGATAGACCAGCTATCATTAATCATGAAAAATTGACGCCATAAATGATGGGAGATTAAGATGTGGAAGACAACTTCTGGTAGTGTCCAACGAAAAAGATAATGAAACAACTGGGAATGGGAAGTCGCGAACGCTACTATGCAAATGGGTGTCAAATGTCATGCATTAGTAGCTGCCAGTAAGCCTCAAGGGTTGTCAATTTGCTGCTCCTCACTCGTTCATTTAAAGCGTGCCATTTTTGCGTCGCTCAATGGCTGACTTATGAGGGGACGTGGCCCTTAGGTTCTAACCTTTATTAAGGGAGCAGTTATTTCATTAGTTATCCTAAAACGACCCACTTATTATCCAATGCACACTGCTCAGACATTCACTACTTTGTTTTCAGACGATTGTGCCTACTTTTTGTGTATTGGTGAAATGTGGTTGCAACTGTGTGTTGTTCTTTTCCCACACCTTCGAAGTGAAGCTTTCGCAACTCTTAAAAGGAAAACGTACCGTTAGACTGGTGCACGTCTACGCTTGATAAAGTGCATATGTAAAGATTAGTGTATCTGGCAAGTTCTTACAGCTTTAAAATAAGCTGATGGAGTGAGGTCTACTAAAATCCCTGAAGCTTTTTCAGGGACCTCATATTTGCTTGTGTGTATGTAGTTTCAGATATGCTTTCTTTTAATCGAGGAAAAGGCGGGGTTTGCTTGTGCAGCCGTGCCTATTTCATCGAAGGACTCAAGAGCATAGTTCCCTTTTTTGGGTCGATTGTTAGAACGTCAGGCGACTATGATAAATTTCATCTTTGGGATGCCTTTCCTATCGAAGGTACCGCGGCCATATTGTATCGTACTAAAGAGGTTCTATAATGCAGAATTTCCCTTCGTGTGAAGGAGCCCTAAAACTCAAAGCAGATGGTTTGAATATTTCCTAACGAATATTTTCCCCTCCAGATTGGCCAGCCGGGGTCACATTGAGGATCTGGTGGCAGAGACGGGTGACCACCTCCACTACATCGACGACATCTTCGCGCTGGGCATCCCTGATCTCACCAACGTTCTCATCCTCGTTCTCCTCCAGCGCCTCCTCCTGCCCGTCTACGTCTACTCCCTCATCAAACGACATCCACCTTCGTGCCTCAAAAGCCAAAATAACGACAAGTCCAAGGTAAGCCGCATCGTTAGCACCACTATATTCGCGTGGACACGTCCCATACCCTTAAGCGTTATTTCACTTCAACTGTCCTTTTCTTCTTGCTCCTTTGCAGCACTCTTTTTTGGTGGAAGGTTTTTATATAGGTAACGGTTGGAATAATTTGCCTCTGCCTCTTTGCCACTTAAGTATTTGGTACTTTTTAACTATATTTTAAAAATTTACACCGTTGCTTATCAATCGTTGTTAGATAGACCCTGAACACTTAAATGCCTCCTGATAATGATCATATGATAAGAAGCGAAATTGTTGCTCTCAGGTGCAAATGTCTGCTAAATTTAAGCTCGGAATTTACACTACTTGTGCCGTAATTTTGGTACCCAGAAGGGACGATTTATCGTTCCTTATGTCTAATGAGGTAACAGGTTCAATGCTTTCATTTGTAAATCTGAAAAGAAATCCAAGTAAATCACAAATTTTTTTCCTGCATGGATCGTGAGTTCGGCAATTAAAGAGGCGTCTGTCTGTCGACAAATTTCTATTGGTTAACTTTCACAGTGCATTGCTTCTTCTCGCTAATCCTAGCAGCAGTAAATTCCCCTAGAATGTTTTCTTTCTCAATTGATTTATGTGATCTTCCTGGGCTGAACAATATAGCTAACGAGAGTCAAAAAGATCTTATTCATTTATTCGGGTTTTAGGATGCCTCCTCCTCATCCCGCGGTTCCTACCTTTTCCATGCTGTCGCCATGTTCCTCCTCGCTGAAGTCTTCACCATTCTCCACCAACCCGAACTTATCCGTGTTCTCACCGAGGCTATTCTAATCGGTGATCTTACCCTCTTACCCTCTCCTCCCCCACTCATCACCACCGCAGGTGAGGTGGAGGATGCAGAGAAGAGAGCAAATCCAGGCACACCAGCAGCCGAAGGCGGCGATGTTCTGGTTCACCTGCGCGCCGCGCACCACGGAAAGCGTGCGATTAGGTGTATGCCTCCTGGCAGCCGTCTTCAAGCTTTTCTCAAAACTATTGCTGCTTGTGGAGCTGTGAATCTTCTTCGCGGCGGTGGTGGGGAGTGGCCAGTTTCTTCCAACCTGGATGATGATATTGCCAGGTGTTCGGAGTGCATTCGAAACTATCTTGTGGGTTGTTATATAAGATGTGTACGAATTCTGGAACTCTTTATTTTTAAGTGGGAGCGGAAGATAGATGAGCTTGATTCACATTCACCACATTCAAACAAGTTTTAGTGATGGTAAGGAATCATACTGATAAGTTAATCCTTATTCATACTTGGCGATGCACTGATATGGATAATCGCATGCAAATACCAACGAGGTATATTTAGACTCGCACGAATATCTTTGCTTGCTTGATATCCACTTTGCTCTTTCACTTTCCCTTCTTGATAGAATGGTGGCAGAAATCAGAGCAGCCAGTTCTCAAATTCTCCCGCTTCTCATCAATCCTTGTCAGGTAAGAAACTGATTTAATTGGACATGTAAGTGTTCCAGATTTTCTCAGCGTCATTAATCATTACAAACTTTTGCACTTTGGGTATATGCATCAATGTTTAATTTCGCCGTTTTCTGATCTGCCTATCCACCTCGATATAATTCACTGATCAGCTCACCTAACCATCCTGGATTTATGTTCATCCATGTATCTACGAATACTTATTTGGGAGTTATTTAGCGATTCCCAGTTCAACCATCTTTCTTGCATTCATCCATCTCAAATAATTACTTCTCTTTTTCGTCTCTAGAGTTCACTACACAGATAGCCGTACCGCCCACAGGGGTATCTCCACCCACCCCTCGTCAAAGTCTAATTCAGTCATTGTCGTCGACTCTGGCAACACAGGGAAATGGCAGTGGTAGTGATGGTAGCGGCGGGGGTGATGGTGGAAGCTTCAGTCTCACCGGAAAACCCTTCCTTCGCGCCCTATTTCGCTCCCTGGAAGTCGGCCCTGGCACCGACTACGACACCTTCTTTGCCCTCTCCCTCCTTATCGCCATCAAACAGAATGGAGGTGAGGTTATTTTTTCCCTAAAAAGGTCTAAAATATTACATATGAGGCCTACTCTACGCGTCCTGATTTATTTCAACCCTTTAAAGTAGGCCTGGGTTTGCGGACTTGAAGTCTCACATTTTAGCCCATTTTAAATTTAGTCATCGGAAATCTCGGAATGACTATGCATTTTTTGAAGGACTTAAAATGCCTGCTACCCGATTTTTTATCTGATCCTGGATTACTATGTTTGCAAATAGTTTGAGTTTAGTTTAAGACGGTGAGGTAGCTATTGGATTTTCTTGGTAGCATTCGAAATGATCAAGAAAATGGTCTACGTTTGTCGCCTTTCCTGTAGTTGAAAAAAAATGTAGGGTTTTAAATAATTTGGCCAGCTTTATCGAAGAGAGCGTGGAGCAGATGTCTCTTCTGGTTTTTTCTACATGCATCTTAAAAGATTGGATTTAAAGACACTTTCAGGAACTGCCGTGAGCGCTCTTTTTACTACCACCTTGCCCAAGTTTTCAATAAGCAGTGGAAATTTCAAATGTGAAAAAAGGATAGGAACAGTGGAAAAGAAGTTTGTATAATTTTATTTTTAAGTAAGGATTATGGTGATATTATGTACTTCATTGACATGCGTTTCTTCCTTCTGCGATTCCCCCAATAGTTGTTTTTCTGCCTTTTTGGTGGTCTTTCCCCATTCCGTCGGTACGTCCGTAGCATTTGACACCCACGACATCAGCATGGCCATTGCTTAAAATTTCGCACCTTTTTGCAGATGGCTATCGCAGAAGTGACTTTTTCCCTCACTGGTTACCTATCTCAGCAGAGATGATTTTTTGCTTACAAGGCGCACCTTCCGTCCACAATGCTTTCAGGTCATGACAGAATACCGTCTTTCTCTGGTGATTTCTATCCAAAATTGCATGAATGTTAACGTTACCACAAGGGGCACGTCACAGGGCACACTCAGACACGTCATTCACCTCTTCAGGTTTAAAATACATGGTGCAAAAATCTTTGAATTTTTTCAAGCACACGTATCCGTATTATCAGAGGGACCACTTTGGTGGAAGAAATTTGTGTAACTGATCTTACTCTGACGACTTTTTGCTTATAGCTTTTTTAGACCAGCGAGGAATTTTATTTCCATTTTAACAGACTGCCAAGTAAAGGTTGTCCCGTTTTTGGTACACAGCTTGCTGCGATAAATAGTTGTAGAGGTGTGCGTTATTTTTATTGGCACGGCGCTCCATTTTCCTGCTGCTTTCTTGACCACATATCATAAAAATGGTTGAATTTTGTGACTGGTTGAAAATTGTCCACTTTCGTTCCAAACCAGCAAACTGAACTCCATAGTTTCAGTTCACTGGGAGGTGGGTATATTAAGCTTTGGTTATCTATCTTATGTTAGCTTGATTTTTCGATTTGCCGAAACTCTTGTTTGCGTGATTTGGATTCTTTTTACACAAATATTCTTTTAATTACGTAGGTATTACTCATTTTGCCCAAGCTTAAAATTATTTGTAAAATTAATCACTTAATGGCACGGATTTTAATCGCCTCAACTACAAATTTTTTGGCATTGTCTGAAATGAGGCTGTGACTATGTTTATTGTTGACTGATGGAGCGATAATTGATTTCCGTGTAAAGGTGGTTTAAAGTTATCGAGTGCCTAGGAAGGGGTTGCCTCACACATGTTGTACAACTGTCATTTTGTCTTGAGCGGAATCTCACGACGGGCAGAAGACTTTTGGATCGAGGAGTAACGCCGCCTCTTATTTTCTTCTACCTTGCTTTCCCCCCTGTTGAATTGCTTTAGGGGAGCCTATTATTCTAATGTATTCAAGGATAAATGAGGTTCTGCAGTTGGCAGTGGCCAATGGAAATACAAAGAATATGGGGAGATTGAACCACTTCAAGTCCTCAGCAGTCATTCGTTGCGTAAACACAAGCCGAATCTCCGACATACTAGTATTGGTAGGCAATGAAGAAATCAGCACTGAGGCACTTTTTTCTTCCTTTTATTCTCGACGGGATTCAAGCGCAAGCAGTAGATGCAGTCAGCGTAATTCTACCTTTTAATTTCAAGCCGCTGATGAAAGAGTGCTTAAATCGCAATAGTAAGATGAGGTGAAACAACATTCCAGGCCTGCAATATGTATATATATCTATATACATATAATGTCATCATTTAAGTCAATGCAGTAAATTGCAGTATTTCCTGTTCTCAAATAGGACTTTTTTCTTTTTTGTATTCTAGTAGCCACGAATGGACAAGCAAGCTCTAAATCCTCAGATTATGGTGTGCACCTCTTTTTTTCCCTCCTTCCTTTCCTCCCTTCTGCTAACCCTTTTGTTGGCACTGTTTTAGTCTGTCATTTTTCCACACGCTCTTATCCGTGTATAATATTAACTCACCACCTTTAATTTTGCGAGATTGTCATCTATCAATGTCTAACCTTAAATAATGTATTTGTTTTTGTTTGCAGGTTTGGACGAGGGAACCCTAGCTTTGGCTCAGTTGCACACTCCCACACAGGTGAGATTTGAGTTATTTTGCATTTGAAGTATTGATTTAATGCCATTTCTGTTTCCGTCATCCCATCATCCTTGGTGTATAAAGTGGCTAAATATCTAGTAATTCAGCTCCCTAGGTCTCTTACGGATAGGTAATGCGACAGGCTAGGGTGGAGGGATACTCTACTAGTAGGGTGTAGAAGGACTGGAAATCTACGGGCGGGGTCCTCTGGCCATTTTGCCAATATGGTGGCAGAATCAGCGGAAGGGTGAAGGGTCCGCATAGTCACCTGTTTCAGTAAAAGTGGTAAGCGGCATTAACAGGGCTTTGTGCCACCTTCGTGGAGGCTGTCTTGGGGGAACTAGATGGACTAATGAACATTGCATACTGATTAACTACCATCTCAGGGCGAAGGGAACGGTGCTAATTTCCCATCATGGTGAGGTGGATTCAAACCATCTTTTTCAATAAATTTTTTCTACGGCCTTAGACTGGCCGGTGTTTTACACTGAGCGTACTGTGCACTAAAACTTCATCTTTGTGGAATCTCCCATTTATTGTGTTGCCATTGTTAGGTCGTCTCTCGGGATTTTCAAGTTTCAATTGAATCTACACTATTTTGTAGTGACTGTCGTACAAATGGTTCTGAGTTAATTTATTTGAGTCTCACTTCGTGACCGCTTATGGTGCGGATCTTAAAATTTGGGTGGCTGCTAGCCGGTAAACGTAGCTACCTTGGCCTTTCTGTCATGAGTCTCCGCAGGTTCAGCCATCGAAAGCAGTTGCCTTTCTCCCACGGTAGCCTTCACTGAAGCATCAACAAGAGCTGAAATTCTTCAGAAAGAGCAAAACTCGTCGCACATTGTCATCGATATAACGCCCAAGCTATTCCTGAAGACGGCACAAAGCGCATGCATGGGAAACTTGTTTCATCAACTTCTCAGGTCAGATCCTTCACACTTATGGCGCGAAGCTTAATTGCCAGGTTGTAGTCACTTTCCCAAGTGGAAGAGTCTGTGAATCTCACGCGCATGTTACGCATTACGGAAGACAGTACGCCCCGATTATTACCAATTATTTGTTGTTTGCTTCTTTCACCTTGTAAAAACCCACCAGGGGCAAAGGTGTCCATCTATAGGACAACGTTCAAAGACCCCATCTTCCGCCGGTTTTAGCCCGCTTTCTTATTCACAAATCTGGGATGTTTGAATAAGCCTTTCTCGGTACTTTTTGATTATGATAGCATAATAAACTGCTGATTTCTCGCTTATAAACTCTGAACTCATCTGACACCCACTGAAATGTGGAATGGAAGTAAGCTTTGTGTCTATTGTTTACTCCTTACATACCGAAATTTTTACTTGCTTTGTAGGATTTGCCCTGCAATTCTATGCTCATCACCAAACTCCTCGATATTATTATCGACGCCGCCAAAATGGGTGAGTTCCCCTGTTGTCTTGCTTACCCTCACAAAGTACACAACTGGCTCTTTATTTCACTGCCGATACACTGCCCTTTCCTCCTGTTGCCCTGGTAACAAATTGGGCACTTGGGCTATTCATATGCTCCGGTTACTGCCGTATACGTTTCTTTGTTAAGTAGGCAACTCAGAAGTTTACTTCATCGTCAACGAACAAAAGAAAAGGGGCAATTTTTGTTACTTTTTCGCCTGTCTTCTTATCAGTAACGACTTTCCTAACTTAAGATGTACTAATTGCCATAACCGTGGTACGGACTCGTCTTTTACCATTCATGTCACCTGTCTCACATATTTTCTTTGGTGCTTCAGAAAGGCTTATATCTAAATGAATTAGGTGGTTAGTAATGAGGAAGGTCATCTGTAACGGTAGACCTACAATGGACGGACCGTGAAAAGGAAGTCAACTCTTTGGCGTGACTATAGGTGAAGGAACCAAAGGGAAACTTATGGTTAACAAGTAGGGATATTGAGGACTTTACACTTTTCTGAGCAGTGGTCAAGTTGCGATGAACTTAGCACTGAGCGTCGAGGAGCAGCTTTGTATTTGCGTATTTCATCAGACTAGCGTGCGTGACAATTTCTTTAGAAATAACTTGAGTAGGAAACATTATACACACACTAAACTGTCTCCCTTCTTGTTCAAACAGGTAGTCGAGTGCGGGTGGCCACTCTTAATTTGGCTCTCTTTCTCTTCGTCCTTGTGACTCGTGACGCCTCCCACAACTGCCAACTCACAGACAACCATAGGCAGCAGTTGGAAGCGGCTTTCCTAGAATCACGTGCCATTCTGGCCGATCTCTACTTGGTGAGCCAACTCCTCCTGTTAGTGGTTTCATCTCGAGTATTTCAACTCTTTGAAATCCTACTGCTACTACAAAAGAAGAGCTTTTTATACAAGAGGTTAGGGTTTAAGGCCAACCAGGAGTAGTTTGTAGCGGTACGCCTCTGGACTATCAGGTGACAATAAAGCTCGTGCAGTTTTTGCTCTGCCCCGTGGCACTTATAAAGGGTGTGCTTTTGTTTATGTTCATGCACTGTCAAGCACAAATATTCGTCTCTTCATTATGCTCTCCCTAGCTTACTGGTTATTTGTCGATACCCCAATATCGCGAAGTCTTGGTTAAACCTGTTAGGTGTGCCCCAAGCTTCTCTTATTCATGGACTCATTCAACTCAATCTGCGGCTGTTGCAAACATCTCTCAATTTTTAGACTGAGCCGGATTTCGCCGACATCTTCGAGTACGAGGTGTGCCGTTTTCGCAGTCAGAAGCTCAGCCCCTCCAAACTTCTCGAAAATACCGCCTTCCTGTTCTCCCACGCAGATGACGCCCTTAAGCTGTTATCCAACCGTTCTGAAGAGAATCTCACCGAGCTGCACAACTCTAACGACCCTACCTCCTCGCTTGTCACTCCTCTGCAGCCACGAGGTCCTCTAGAAGGCCCGCCCTATACTACACTGCCTTTCAGCCAACTGGAACACATCCAGCGCATCATCGCCGTCTACATATGTCTCCATGGCTACCTCTGCGAATACATATTCACAAGGGAAACGAGCGCAGGCGAACCACTAAACGAGGTCACTTCACCAGCGCTAGAACGGATTCCTGCGTTTGCATCGTTTGGAGATATTCCACCCAGCAATAAAGTCCTGGTGCCAATTTCGTGTTCAATTGACACAAGTGAGTTTGCTGCGGGATAAGCTGATATGTGAAATTCTTGGTAAATTTTCTGCAACTACTATACTCTTAATCCGATTGGCTAGAACGATGCGATGCATTGTTTTAACACTACTAGTAAATGTAATTTCTTTTGTATTTTAAGAAATGATGGGGTTTATTGGTAGACTTCGACACTACCGATGTAAAAATAATTTTCCTACGTATACATGAAAGATGGTGAAAAACACCCAAAGAAGAGGAATGCAACATGCGTCGGTGAACAACCTAAATGTCCATATTTTGTTACGCTTAGAAACTGCTTTGCTTACGTTGCCCCTTCCATTTGACCTTCCCTAGGCGAGCATCGGCTCTTTGGTTGCGAGGTGGAACAGCAGAATGGGTAGGTTGGCCTTTTACTCCTCATATTGCCGACAAAATAATTTTTCCGAAGCTGAGCTTCCAGTAGCTACGCAACTTTGGTGCAAGAGTTTACGGCTACAGTGAAACTAACATTGTCCCTACCCCTCTCGTTTTAGACGATCCGAAAAACGTTATCTTATTATCACCGATGTGCAATTTATTTCGATAATACCAAGTCATCGCAAAATGGGTTTCGGAATCGTCGCTTTTTGTGGACTCATTCAGGTACTTCCCTCTTTCCACTTCCTCCCCCTTATTTGGTCTTGGAACATGCAAAACACGTTTGCATTCAGCCTGGTAGCTTGCTTGATTCCAAGCACGTCCGATATAGAGCATAGTTGTCGGCTGAAATAATTTCAGCATCATTTGCTTTGTTTATCGTCTAGGACACCGAACTTCGGTGTGATCCAACAGACGACTGTGTGTTGAACATCGTGGTCTACAAGCCAGGTGACCGATCTGGGCTCACCATTAGGCGAATTATGACGGAGACAGGAATTGCCTCCTCCTCTCCATTGCCCAATGTGTTTCCCAGCATGAATGCGAAACTGCGTTTCTGCACCTCTTTCCAGTGCTCCGTATTCCACAGAATGGTGACTCATAGCCTTGAGAAGATCGTTGCTGCAAAACAGGAAAAATTAAAACAGTTAGTTTTCATTTCCCTTTTGAAATCCCTAATTTTGCTTGTCCGTCTTATCTTATATCACACCTCAATGACTTGGTGACATTTATTCGTCATGTTATGCAATTGTTCGTTTTACTGGGTCTTCACAAGCTCGGCCATCCACACCTGACGCCTTTCTTCTGCGGTGGATGGCCAGATGTCCTAGATGTAAGTTCCTTCGTAGCCATCAGTGAAAGCCGTCACATTCTATATAATTTGTTAAAATTGTTGATCATATGCAACCGTACTACAGATTTTGTAATATCTGAGGCATCATTGAAGCCAGAAATTTGTAAGCACCTCAAACGCGGTGGGTGAGGGACTGGTGCCCTGGGTACGGATCGAATTTTGGTGAGAGGATATGCTTAACCACAAACCACTACTCATTTGAAGTGCTACTAGCCTTCTGTCACTGAAACAAATATTGTCAAAGCTACTTGCACCTTTTAGACTATTGAACGTATCGGATAAGCCCACCCGCCCAAGTGGTCAGTTCTTATTAAGCGAAGAATCATCCAATCAATCACGTCCACGTTCTCCACCCATGACCACAAAACCATTGAGAACCACTGGTTCTGCGCCTACCACCCTCCTTCAAAAAGCCAGGGCTTATTCACTCTCTTCCACCGCTGCTATTAATAGTCACGTATCTGACGCTAGTCATCATTCTACCGCAAGTTAGATTCTCTCCATTTTCAATGTTAAGATTGAAGACACATCTTCATGTTACCAACTTTAATGGTGTATTTTTTTAGGCAAGACGACAGAGGAGATGCAGGCCATAGCAATGGTGGACCTCTCACGTCGAGCCAACATCTTTAAGACCACGTCCGAGTAGCCCGTTTTTCGCTGTGATGGAAGATAGCAGTGTACAGCTCCGTCTTTTCCCTCTCGTCTTTATACCGCCTTACTTGGTTATCGATGAGAAATAAAACCTCAATTGCCTATGAGTATGTAAATCGGATGAGTTCTTGAGAGGTCAATTAATTATGAGGGGTGTCAGTGGCAGGCTGAAACTATCCAGCTAGCAATAAGTATCAGGGGGGCAGAATTCCGTCCTAAGGCAGTTCTTTATCACGTGCACCAAATTCGCCATAGGGATTAGTCAGGACGCGCGAGTCATCTTTGGACAGTTTGCTCTACTGTCTCGGTGCCTAGTTTTTGTCTGGGTTTGTTAATCATTCATCCCTTGTGTAGCCTGGTGATGCAGTCAAGTGTTCAGCGGATGTCACCGTGAAAGGGAACCGTCAGAGAGCTTAAGCAATCCAATGGTAATCACGGCGAAATCGCGCTCAAACGCCAAAATTGAATTGCCTTAAAAACGACAATCATGGGGCCACTACATCAAGCACGAAGATGTTTCCATTGCATGAGAGAATGACATCGTCATCTCGGTTCTTTCAACTGGATAGAACCTCAAATTGCAGTTACGCTTAGTCGAAGTGCTAGAAAGGCGATCAAGAGGACGTAAAAAAGAACAGGTGGCCCAGCCATTAGGCAAGCTTTCCGACTAACAATCACCGGCCTACGAAACGCGCTAACTGTGGAGTAAAATTCAATCGCGAGCGGTGCATGATCTGTGGATCTCTTACAGTATACTTCACAAGCGAATGAAGTCGCTTATCTAGCCGGTATCACTAAGATGCCCAGCTAATAGTAGATTCTATTTCATAAAGGTAGAACGTGTCTAAAGCGCCTTCCCCCCACAATGGTTCCTGTACTACACCTATAACGCAGAGGTTATACTCTTCTCCTTGCACACTCGAAAGAATTTTTTAATGCATCTAATTTCTAACTTTTTTGAGGGCGTAATGTTTACTTTTTGATATTGTTTTTTGGGTTGCCTAATTGGGTCTTCAGGGGCAACACAGAAACCCAAATACACATAATTAAATATGCATATACATAAATTTCAGGTACTGATAGCTGCAACAATGCAACAATGCAGCAATGCACAATTTTTAAAATAGGCAAAATTTTAGGTTGTTAAAAGGTCAATAAATATTCTATAAGAGATTTACCTTTCCTATTTGTTTTACGCGATAGATCCGTCATTACATAGCTCGAATGTACTACAAATTAATTGGTCAATGATTCAACCAATCACCCGTCTGCTATTCTTGATGTAATATACATATCAGTCTACGGTCTGGTGTCTTTTATTGCGTTAATCCTTTATGGTCGATGCTCGTAAAGGTTTATATTTTATTTAGGTTGGAATCGTCCTAAACTTGGCCATAAGTTAGCATTTGGTTTTTAGCGCAGCTCACGATATGAGCGAAATCATTCCTGTGACTGTTTTTTTGCCTCACACCTTTGATTTCACTGAGTTCTCATTTTCCATCTTCTAAAGGCTTACTCAAAATCTTTGATCTTTGGGACATTTTGCTGCTATTTCGGTGGTATTGCGTTGGGGGCGTTATTTTTACTCACACTAGACGATTTGTGTTCATTTGTGTTCACTACGGTACCTAATTGGTAGTGTATCACACTACTGTCGTGCGTTTTTTCTTTTTAAAAGGTGTTTACCACTGTTTTTTGTTTTGCAGAACTCTATTATTTATCGTAGTCTTAATCATGCGCTGGTAAGCATGAGGACAGCTATGAAGGAAATAGGTAAGATGATGATATGTTTTATCCCCGCGTTGCTAGATAACGATTCTCCGAAAACTCATCCTCTAAAGAATCGCGTAAAATGCATTTCTATCGATGCAAATCATTGCTCAAATGTGCGCTGCTATGATTTTTTAATGCAGTTCTTTTAAATTAGGAAAATGGTTTTGCACTTTCACATGAGAAGGATCGAAAGGCGGTAGATGAGTGCCAAGAAGACGGAACGGACGAGTCAGTTGTTTCAGTGAACGAGATCTACCAACTTGGTATTGAGGACAAAGAGAACAACGAGGTTTATCTCCTCGATTTTGTAGATAGCTTAAAAGTTTCCTATTCCGTAGAAGTCCCCGATACCAGCCAGGGAGGCTTGGAGACCCTTCCCCCTTTCATTCACGATTGTTTATTTGCCGAATATCTCTCTTGTACAGCGTCTGATGTCCTCTCCAAAATTTCGGCATCTCTTGAATCGTGGATGGATGAGGTTGATGAAGGCAAATTCATCTCGCGTCATTTGGCAGCTTTCGATGAGTTAATCGTCCTTCGAAAGCAAATCTTTACCCTCCTAAAACTCTTTGTCCCCAATCCTGATGTCAGGGAGGGTTTTGATTGCACGACCGCTGATTTGGACCGTTATCTCCTGCGGATTATCCGAGATTTGAGTAATAATAATAGAAATCTCGGAAGCGAAGCGTCTACAGGATATCCTGTTGTTTCGGTTTGCACCGAACCGGAGCATTGTGTCCATGTATTAAGGCAACGGGTTCTGACGCTGCTGCAGACCCTTCTGCCTAACCTTCTCCTACCCGAATCTTTCGATCTGAAGCGTGATTTGCAGGATTTGATCAATGCAATCTATTCGTATAACATGCCTAAATTTTAAATTACGCGTCCGAAGAGAATCTTCCACCGCCTCACTACCTGCGCATTTTTGTAATATCTATGTACACATTGGCAACGCTTTTTACGCCTTCAATTGGAGTCTTTTATTCGTACTTATTTTAAGAGTAAATAAGAATTTTATTGATCTCTACCTTGATTAGTGTCTATTCCTTAATTCATAGAACTTTGACTTTAAGTGGCATCAGAGTAGATCGAAGGGATCAACTTTGTCATTTGATGCTCTTTACTAGAAGATCATAGTAAGGTTGCCATTTTGTGAATTTGATTGGTCCCAACTTGATTTTACTTAATGGAATAAGTGTTTTGTGCCGCAGCCATTTCTGGAAATTTTGTAAGGCATACCAGAATTCGCAGCCTACAAAAAGATTGGAAGGTCACGGTTACGTGGAAGACGTCATACCGGCAAGGAAGCAGAAATCGCTTAGAATGCAAAGCTCTTGCGGTGCTCTCCTTCGTCGCTCTTTCGTATCTGGCACTACAATGTGAACCGCAACAGGAGTCAGACGCGACAACATTCATCCATCAACTTCATTTCCCCTCTTATGTGACATTCAAGTTTGGCATGTAGCATTTTAGACTTTCTATCATCAGAGTAATCACCTGTGCACTACGAGGTTTTTGGATATGTTCACTTCTATTGAGGGTGGCCTTCACGACGTCATACCGTTATTCCTCATGACCAAAAGTAATGAGGGTGGAGAAGAGATGATAAGTATGCCTCCGATCCTGGAAAAATGTCCACGTGCAACTTTCTAGACCTTTCTGTTATGGGAGGTGGATCCCGGTTGTTCTGGGAATTGCGATTTCCCTTCAGAGAGGCTGAGGCTACGCTTGGATATGCTTTTCGCGCAGTAATAGCCAATCGGTGTCCGAACTACTTTATAATAATAGGTTCTCTACCATAAAATAGGCAAAAATAAATCGACTGAGAGACTCATAAGCGCAGTCTCTGACTCGGCATTCACCAGTCTCCACCATTCGGCAGTTAAGCGAATGCCTGCGCGTTACACCTTTATTTTGATCCATTCTCATCTATCATACTCGATCTTAAAAGACCAGTCATGAGTTCTATTACTGAATGCTTAATTCTCAACGTGACAGAGCATGAATATATGCTGCGGATGAGGGAATCGGTGACGATCGCCAACTTAAGGGCTGAAAATGACGTCAAACTCCGGCAATCACCCCTAATCCCGTGTCCTGCAGGAAAGCTAGTAATAACAAAAGCGACAGTGACTTTTGACCATCTGGGTAGGCCGTTATGGAGCTGTCTGCCGCACCTGTCTAAGGATTTCAATTATGTGAACACTACCAGCCGACTGAGTGGGTAGCCCTGAAGTAAGAACAACGTGGCGAGGTGAAATGGACGCGATTTTCTTACACTGCAGACCTACATTAAAGATTGTCTTTTGTTATATGACTATTTTTAGACCAGTGTTCTTCTGACTAGCAATTGACACACGTGATGGCCAGTACATCACCCCGTCTCCGAATCCATTTCCCATACAGACCAAAACTGTCATCCAGTTGAATTGCCATGGGGAATCAGGGACATTGCAGTCAAGTTCCTCCTCGGTTAAGTGGAAATTCCATGAATGGCACTCATGGATCGTGGGTGTTTTTCTTACGGTACCGATTGCGTTGTAATGGCTGACGTGGGAGGCTGGCCAAAAGGAGTGCTGGAGTGAGGCTAGAAGGAGAGAGGGATTATAAAATGAGTTATTTGTATGTTTAAGTCTCGGTCTTGTAGAGGAGTCACTTTGAGTCTCCCCCATAGTACCTTAGCCAGGTGGCCTGGTCTCTGGGTCATGCCAGTAGCTCTAAGCCCTTCTGTAAGTTGGTGATCCATATTCCGCCCAAGTATGATGTCTCTTTTGACCTTCAGGGAAGCCTCGGGGCGCTAAACAGGGCCTGAAGTCTACACATTAATTAATTATTTGGAATTGCAAGAGGATTGAGACGACTCGAGCACAGAAACCCCAAGTGCAACAGCTACAAGTCAATTTATAGCAGAAGGTAGAGGTCGATGTCTTGCCTTTTGAAACTGATGTATCTATTCTTGGCTGACTCATCGCTAGAATTTATTTGCACCAATGATTGTGCATTCCATGTTTTCTCCAAGTACTTTACACCAAATTCAATGGGAAGCTTCTATAGCCCCTCTCTAAATACAATCCGGGCCATTCGACAGGTAAGTTCTAATCACATCCAAAGTTCAGTCAAACGATATTTTAAAACGTGAGGCTTCAAAATACATATGATTATGCTATATCGATAAAAGGGATTGGGGCCGCTGGCATCGTCTGTGGGCTTGACCGCCTGGCGGAGCATCAAAATGCCCCCTTCTTTACCAGGACCGAGAGTTAAACAAACCATCAATGCACCACATAGCTCCCCCGCACTTCTAAGCGTCATCCCCGGGTCTCCCTTTGGTAAACCTCCCGCGTCAGCCATAACAACCAAACCCGTGCTGTAAGGAAACACCCACGAGCCAACTGTGCTAGTCAACGAATTAGCGTACAGCCGAGAATGTGCTGGACCGTGACGCCACTAGTTCCTCTTGGTAATTCTACTGGATCAAGAGTTTCTTTCTGATTGGAACTGCATTAGAGGATGGGAGGAACGTACAGGCCATCACGCATGTCTATCGCCAGCCGTAAGAACACTGACCTAAAAGTAGAATTTTTTAATAAAGGACGGGGTTTAAAATAGTTTCTTGAAGATAAGGTTTCTCATCTATTCCCCCTCGTCACGTTGTTTTAACTTTAGTGTTGCCTAACCATATCTATCTGGTTTCCATACAGCTAGTAGGGATCTGACATCTTCATACAGGAACAGTCGGCAGCCACGGCCAGTGCCCATTCAGTTGTTAATAGCTTTCCTGTAGTCCACGAAACTGGAGTAGCCGTCAAAGGTAGACGTCATTTTCAGGTGTCAAGATCTAGTCTGTTTTAAATCGCCTCAATTCTGCTTGGGTGATAACTCTTGGCCAATTCGATTCATTAAAATGACAGGTGACTGGATTCGTCGAGTGCCGCATCTACAACTTATGTCATAAGTGACAGCAGACCTGAGCAATTGTACAATTTACATAAATTAATAACCACAAATAAGTGTCATGTAAATTAATTTAGACTACACTTCTCATCAGTTAAAATGAGTACCATCCAAACCAACCTTACCGACTCCTGACTTTCTTGGCGGTGATGCCTTCACTTCTAGCTACGAATGACTTCATTAAATTCAAAAGAAAGCTATGTTGCTTTCCCTAATAGCGTCAACTACCTCCAACGGCGAATAAGCAAAACAAATTGGATTATGTCTCCCGAGGGAAGATAGATGAAAGTCATCCCCTCCCCCCCAGTTAACCTAAGCCCTGCTACGGAACCACTTTTCTGAAGATCCGTGGAGGTTGCTAGCTTATGTTTGGAACAAATAGGAATTTTCTAGCGACGCAATCACCCCACACAAGACAATTGATAAATTCACTCAGATTTTGGTCTTCCAGTGGTAGACTTCAGAAAACACACAAACAACTTAATTTTAGCACGCGAAAAGAATAAAAGGAAAGAGCTAATGAAATATCATCTCCAGTGCCCGATCAAGGTTCGAGTTGTAGTAGAAATGTGCGTGCGAAGTCATACATTTGTACAAAATCCACAAATCTATTCCTTTTCTACCATCACCGGGTAGCAATCACATGCTATTTGACAAAGAAGACGCAGAGCCGACGCTTTTTCACTGCAAAAACAATAATTGTAAGTGATCAGCACTGCTACTGGAAAGCTTTTAAGTAGCAGTAGTAATAGAATTGAGCATACGTGGACTGTTCAGCGATTAGGCGTAACCAATGTGGAAGTCTGTTTTCAATGTAATCCAGGAATTTAAGGCGTCTTTGGAGACGGAAGATATCGCCCCAAATATCCACCATCTGATGAAGATCGCGATGCACTTCAGGGTGATTTGAAAAAACCGCCGGACCATGAGTTAATCGAAATGCACGCGAGGGAATCTCGATCGGCGGTTCGGCATAAGAAGAGGGGAGTTTTTGACCTTTTGTTAAGGATTAAAAGACTACGTCTTTAATTATGTTTCAAGCAGCAATCGACTAACAAAACTCCAGGACCGCGATGCTCGATTTCCCTCTAAGGTCTCAATTTTTAAAATGACTACAACAGGAGAGTTCATTGGCAAAGCAAATGTGCTTACATGGATAAGTTTACATATCGGACCAAAGATAAAACTACCTGAATAGACGTAAGCCCTCCATATGGTTTCTATCGATGGAGCAGAATCCTTTTGTCTAGACGGGTTTGCAGCTTTAACACAGGTGCTCTCGTTGCCCAGAAGAAGTGGTTTGAAATGTTCGGCAATGTTGAAGAGTGCGATAAAGTTTTCCAGCATCTGATCTCGCCACTGCCGCTGTCCCGGTGCGGCCACGTTCCAGTCTAAAAATGCAGTAGTGCGCGCTTTGCTCAGATAGAATGTATAACCTTAGTTGATAAAATAGTCACCAAGACGCCAATCATAAGTAGAATTTTACTTTTAAACGACTAATATCCATCGCAGCTGTACCCTTTAGAACAATGGAATGAAGCACTGCACAAAGTATCCATGTCACTAGTTTCTACATGCGACTGTATGTTCCTTACACGTCATCTTTTGACGAATACATCCTTCCTGTGCCTAAATCATGACCGGAAAAAGTAAGATCAAATTTAGGGAAATCATCATTTTCAGTAATTATGTAGGATGATAATGTAGAAACGACGATTTTTGGCATTGCTTAGGTGCCTAATTACACTACGTTGGGAAGCAATGAGAATAGAGTCGCATATACATAAGTGTGCTACGGAACTAAGCAATGTAAACCACACAGTTGGTACCTACGCAGTTCCCGAATGGATCTACCATTAAAATCAAGCATATCCTCAGTGGGAGAGCAAAACTACTACACGGTCTTCATTCCCGTTTCAGGCAGGGTATGAATATATCCGACTGTTACGGGGAACGCAGAGAGCAATGCTCAAAAGAAGAGCTGGACTGAGTGACATGTGTCACCTATGCTGCTGTTTTATAACGTCAGCAGGGAAAACTTGCAAACCAAAAGCTTTCGAAAGTTGGATAGATACAAACACACTCACCAACAACGTCCAAAACTCTAAAAAACTGCTCCAATAGTTCAACCAGTTTTGGCAAATTTTTTGCGAAATAGGGACGAGCAACAGAGGTGTCGATATCTCCAGAGATATCCCGAAACTTGGAAATTATAAAGAACTCTAGAAAAATCAGCATTATCTTACCAGATTGCTGCAGTAAGCAAGGAAACTTTCTCGAGCTGATGTGTCATTGGCACTTAATTGGCCCTCTTTGGAAAATATCTCCACGGATTTTGATAAAGCGATCACGTCATTAATACGCTTAATTGTATTCGAATCGAAGTCCCAATAATCTTTGCCTTCTAAGTCATTTATGTTTTGTGCTTTGGTTGTTCTAAAGCATCAAGAAAAATCAAACGGTGAATTACAAGGAACGGTTGGTCGGCGCGACCACTTTTGGAGACCCTGTAGATTCCTGAGCAAAGTTGTCAGATTCTGCAACATCTGCTTGAGAATTGTCAAAAAAAGAAGTAGACAGCCATGACTGGGCTCTTCTGCGAAGTAAATCAACTTCAGAAGGTCTGAAGAAATTGTGCAATACAGTTGCTTACGCTCGTTCTGTACGCACTCGATGTTTAGAAGTAGTGGAGTCGCATTTATGATTACCTGAAGTGATACTGCGGTTTACCATTTCCATCTGAGATTTAGGCTTATTTAAATCAACAGTATAAGGCATTTTCTGGGGTTTTCGGTACGCCTGAGGATTACCAATTGTTTGCTTTGAGATCTTGCTAGCTTTTTCAGCCATAAGCTCCGATTTTTCTAATGCAATTTTTGCCTTCGACAAAGCGTTCTCAATTTCCAGGATAAGACTTCCAGACAAATCTCCCCCCTTTTCAACTTTATCCTTGTCCTTTTCAACGCGAACAACGCTAATGCATTATGTGTAGAATAGTAAGTCTACCTTCTTTTTAAGCCGCTCCGTATATCCTGGTAAAGATCTTCGGCCCTACGTTCTTCGACGAAAATTGAATATAGAATGCTATTAAAATATGCAACATCCTTGCCAAGATCATCCATAATGAGAAATCTGTGAGGGAATACAAACACACACGCATACAAATAAGCCACACGCACAGCTTAGGGTCAAACCCGTTATATTCACTGAAAGACGGCCCGCTGAATGGGTTATAAATATGTCTAATGGCAAAGAACATGCCTTAGCTGAGCTTACACATACATACAAATTAGGTTTACATTCCCTATGCATGAAGCCGAATAGCTAGTGAAACCAATGGAGAGTAGCGTATTTTTGAAGTGCATGTGTTTATGAGCAATTTAATTGTGAAACGGGGACTTCTTGCTTAAAAAAGCTGCACTTTGCATTCGAGTCTGAATTTGTGCCAGACAGTTATTAATTTTTTTGTAAGGTTGTGCTCTATATCCATTAGTGCTATAAGGATGCTGGCTGAATCACGCACGGTTTGTTAATGCTAGAGCAAAATTTGCTGATAACTTTGACATGTTTTGGGCTTTCTAATTATCTATAATTAAATATTAGGCAAATTTTTCGTTTGTTTTAGTTTGCTCTTTACAGGCACTGCATCGATGCTGTCTTGGTGCGCTTTGGCTCTGCGATTGTGGTACCTCTGTTTTATCCGTATTGTAGCTTTTCTATGCTGTTGTTCCGCTTTACTATCTTCAGTTTGTCTGCCAAAACGATTTCAACGTGGTGCCGCTCTTCATTTAAGCATTTTGATAGATGTGTGTTGACCATGTCTCATAATTTTTTGTATACCGTTAAGTCCCTGGTTTATTTAGCAAATGGATGGTCGGCAACCATCTTTGTCCTCTTTTGCTTCTGGTGGCGATATCAGTAGCTGCAGCTTAAGGATTCCTGACAAGTTCAACTTTGACCTCTCCGATCTCATCGATGATTTGATTGCGTTCGCCTATACGGATTCCGGTACATTAATTTTTTTTGAGCTTCTTTTTCCCATTGGTGTTAACCTTTTTTATTGTTGCATACCATCATGGTAAATAATGCAGGGATGATCAGTTCTCTATCTCTCTTACTATAATCTGACATGTTATGCTGTTAGTAATCCTCTGCATCTTGATTATATGTTCGCTTCTTCACCTTTTACGGTAATTTTTAAGACAGTTGTCGCTTGTTATATCATTTGTCATCTCTTTATGAAAATCAAAAGTCCTGAATTGTTGGAGTCGTTGTGAGGGACCTTTTTCTTTGGGGCCTTTTTAAAACTGTTGGGAAAGCTTGAATATTTAATTTATGGCATTTCGGCTTTGCTAAAATTAGGTTATTTTATTTATTATTCTATCAGCCTTCTGCTTACTGGATGGTTTTATGTTTTTAGTAGTTTACTGATGTACCAATTTGCTTGCCTGACCCGATGTGTAGTTCACAGAAGAAAGTCGATGTCAAACAGGCCTCCGCACTCATTCGTAAGTGGGGTAAACGACAGGCGCACATACGAAGTGCTAAAGGGGTGCCGAATGAGGAGCTAGCAGTCATGGAACCGTGCGTCAGGATATGAATTTTGTGTATTCACTGATAATACTCCCCCCTTTGCATACCTTGAGGGTTCATTTCAGTTAAACCTGCCTAGGAGTGCTGTAGAATCTCTTAAGGTTAGAAGATTTCACGTTTGAATCGAAGTTCTCTTATGTATCATAAATACAACACCTAAGCCATTCTTATTCCCAAGGTACTCCTAATCCGTCTACACCTGTAAACTGTATCAGAAGATTAGAAACTGGTGGAGTGGACCGTAAAATCTGTGTTCTAGGCCATAGTTCCAACTACGTTTCGTTACTGTTTATGATTTACACTAACCATAGATAATTGGGCTGCCTCGAGTCTTCCTGAAGTCGGTCAGTAGCAAGGCACATGGACTCCTGCTATAATGCCATGGGGGAAGTACAATTTACAAAGACTTAAGTGCCCGCCTACCCAAACACAGAGTTGAACAGACTGTCAAAGCACTACATGTCACCAGTATAATTGGCAGTTTTCTTAACCCTCCAATTGTGAAATACATTTTTGTGCTGTAACTGCCAAGAAATGCATTTTTTCCTAGACAAACATCTCTAGTCTACCTTGCTATCTTGAACTCAAAGCCATTTGGTACAGTCTGTTACCACAGATTCAGAAATAATCCATGGCACGGATTTGTGACGTCAGACTCACATGTATGATATGCTAAACTGAAAACATTTCGAGTTTCCATGTTTATCCTCATTTAGCCTCAAATGCACCTGATGCAGGAAGTGGTGTAGTTCTCTCAAACCTCGCTCAACGCATCACTTCCCTTCGAGCGTCAGTTCAGGAGGCCAAGGAGCTCTGCCGACCCTCTCCACGGGGGCAGCGAACTGCGTCTGCCACACCTGCCTCTGCAACAGTTACTGCGGCCCCAACACCTCGAGCGAAAGCAACCCCTGCCACTCCTAGTGCCACAGACACCAACCAATCACTCAGCCTCTTTCATTCTGCTTGTGATCTTGATCCTGTAGCCCAGCAACATCTGCTCTCTGCGGTGGCTACTGCCTGCGTGGCTAAACGGAATCTCCTGGCAGAGCTCAAACAGGAGTTGTTTGACCTCAAAATGCAGAACGACCACTTCTCTATATAAGGAAGTGGTTTGACAATTATCGTCTGTTTTTTTTTTAAGCTGTGAATATAGTTTTTGGATTGTTCGTCTTCTCTTCTGCCTGTGCATCAGAGCTTTCATTTTGAATGGTAGTAATCCGCCGCTACTTGTCCCTTTTCTTGATGGTTTGCTGATATCAGTAGCATTCGCCTGTTTTTCATGCCATCAGAATGATCAGCTGGTTGTATTAGGAGTTCATTAGAGCAGATCTTATAGTTAGCGGTTAGGACCTGTTTAGTCTCACTGCGTTTTTAATTATTTCACTGGCTGTGGTTGGTGAGATCGGTTACTTGAACTCACCGAAAAGGCTGGTTTTTTTTTTTTTTTTGAAAAAAGTCTTCCTTGCTTATTTTCGGCTAGGGGATTAGCCTTGATGCGGAAAATCTGCCTCCATTATGGGCCGCGTTGAAAGTGAGATGCTGTAACTCGGTGGAGTTCAGGGGTTACTTCTGTGGAGCCTCTGATGGAAGCGGTGGAGGTTGCGACAATTCCGATCTTGCTCTCTGTTCTATTCCAGAAGGGAAAATCATCTTTGTTTGTGGTTGGTCGATCGAAAAAGTCGACGTGAGTGCTCATTTTTCTTCTCTCTTAATAATTACTCGTCTGGTGAGTTGACAAGTAGGACGTTGGCGCGTTCTGCAACAGTGCCACGTATGTGTGACGTGGGATTTGCCCAGTTTCGACCATCATTTTTTTAGACAGAGCATCATTTGTGGACTGCATTGGTTGATTTTCCTTCGAGGCAGATCTTGGTGGTGAAAGTGCTAGACCTATGATCTATTTCAAGAAGGCATGATGAATCACTGGCCATTTCTATCATATTGTTTTGCGCTCATAACAGATATTTTAATAGGGTTTTGGTTTAGAATGATGACGTTCTTGAATTCAGTATTTGAATGTCGGCTTTATTAGAAGCGGTTTTTTTAACGATAGAACAAATGCCTAACTCCGAGTCCATTGATAGTTCTAAACTCGATTGGATAAAATCGTAGCTAACATGAACTGACAAACAACATATGCCACATATATGTGACGCTGGCAACCAGTTCATGCACTTCTTACCATTAATCTTCTGTATGGGTCTTCAAATTCCTATTCCGTTCCACCTTTGGCTTGATTGGATACATTTGCCAGATAATAGTCACGATCTTTTCTTTAAGAATGTGAACCTTCTTATTTTTCCGGGCTAGCGAGTTTGGAGACCTCAGTGCACGATATTCTATTGAATTATTCTCTTTTTTACTTAACGGCTTGTCTAGTTTGAATTTCTCCAAGGCAGGGTGCCAACAACTTTCCCATGCGGTTTTTAGTAAGCTACCCGTCTCCTCCACTTATTCTAATGTTTTAAACAATCCTAATAAGGCTCTTTGCCTTGGGTGTGGTGCACCAGAGATGAAATGTTTCACTAATGTCTTGTCCACTTGCTGAGAGTCAAGTACTTGCGACTGAGATCTACCCAGCACTAAATACAGTGCAGCTTGAAGGCGTGTGCAAAAAACGATAGAAGTGGTCAATCGGTTAGGCAGAGGTGGTATTCATACATTACTATGCGAAATCTCAAACTGACGTTAAAGTTTCCCATTGGTGAAATTTTCGCGTTAGGATGGGAGAGGGAGAGAAGGAAGACATTGCCTGATTTCTAGTCTCATCTTAATCTTCTGCGGTCTCCTAATGCTATCTGGCGTGTATTTAATCGTCAGGAATTTGTGATTTTGCAGGTCTTAGCTGACTATCCACCCCTTCCAACGGAGGTGAAATCCAAACTGGAAGAGATTTACGCATCAGTAGTGAAGGCGGAAGTGGAGGTGAGCAGAGCGAACAGTCTGGACCTGCGTCGGAAGTTGGTGCTACGCCATTTCGGTCCTTTTGCGGCGAAGGCGGAAGAAGATGGGAAAGTTGTTCTCTACGACGGTGTTGTGACTGTTCTCCCACCCTATCTACCCAGTTCCTGTCAGGGCACCAATGCGGCGGTGCTGCAAAAGGTCCAAAATGCCCTCTTGCAGATTGATGAATTGAATTGAATTGGATTGATTGGATTTGCGTGTCTCGTATCTGTGGGCATTTGAGATCTGTACAGACCTGTGTAATGGACGTTGTAGGGCTGTAGTTAGCTCTTTTTCTGTGCTTGTTTAGGCGATGAGGCCTGGGGCCTCGGAGTGGTCGTTGTTCGTAGTGGGGGGCTTTTCGGTATCGGCGAGGTGGTGGGGGTTGAGGTCGGTGTGTTTCCTCGGGTGGTGCGTTGGGGCGGTTGTATGTGACGTTCTACGGGGGTTGGGGGAATATTGTAGCGTCCCAAGACTCCCTGAAGACGAAAGAAGACACAATATTCGGGCAGAATATATATGTATTCAGCACGGAGAAGGTGTCTGGGCTATTGGCATGGCCCAAAAGGCCAGCCCACACAGCGAGGTACAATGGGGCTAGTTCAAAGTACAAAATTGGCGCCTCACCAGAACCGAGGGATAAACCACTATCGTATTACAATATGGCGAGGCGGGTGTGCACGTGGAGGTATTACGTCTTACTGTTAATTACTTGGTAAACTCGTGGGGTGTAAGACTTTGGATAAGATTTTTTTTGTGCTTCGGTAATTAAATAGCAAGAAGCACACATTCTTTAGGCATTAAGATTTTTGTTTTGCATATTTGTTTGTTAATATTGAGTAATGTATTTGCGCTAATGCCAAAAAAATTATCTTGGTACATGTTTAGCCCGCCGATTTCAACTCTCTTTGTGGTGGCGTCCAGGTGTTTTAGTTTACACGTCCAGGTAATGGGGAATTGGTTCTGCGGCCACTATGCGAGGGATTCCCAGGTTGAGTGTATTACTGCGGAAGTTATCAAATCACGAGCAGAGCACAGATCAACAGTAAGCCTTCTCCTGCTTTTTGTTGTGTCACCAACAAATTGTTTGAGGTGTTGTTTTTTTCGTACTTCTATGTAAAGTTATGCAACACAGCGTGTCGGTTTACCGTAGCCATGTCGTTTTTGTGAAAAGTGATTTCCAGTTGGTATGACAGCGTTGCTTGTAAACCTTCCATATGTACCTATAACCATTACTATATTGCATTTTCTCCCTAAATAAAACCGAAAGAATTTATCCCGTCTTTGTATCATTTTTAGCTGGTGTTCCTTCATGGACTGGGAGATACGGGGTAAAGCTACCTATTGTTTTCTTTAACGTAGCTCAAATCTCAAGGCGAATTTGGAGTCAACAGTTGAAGAGGATAGTTCCGCCGCATTGTAAAGTCATCTGTCCCAATGCGTAAGAAAAAGCCCCACCAAATATGTATTTTTAGGCAACCTATCGAGGTGTCTATAAACCAGAACACCGTCATGCCTGCTTGGTTTGACATCTACGGTCTTACAGTCGACGCACCCCAAGACAAGGCAGGTATCATGAAGGCTGCAGAACAAAGTAATTCCTTATTCCATTTTGCTCTTGTTCCCTACCTGTTTATGGCTTCTAAATTATTCATAAAGAGGATACAGCGTGCAGAATTTTAAAGGTGATGGAGAAAAATTGATGAATCAGTAGCTTCATGTTACCATTGGCATGTGTTAAACTTTACGTTGATATTCATATCTTGTCTTCTTTACTATCTCTCACCTAATCATTGTGCTTGTACATAAATTAACTACCTTTGAGGAATACAAATCCATTCAAATTATTTTAACTCTCGTAATCCAGATTCCCTTTCCATTTCTGATCAGTAATCAGAACTCGAGACTAGGATAGTGTCCAAGCATTAGTGACCAAAGACTTTAGCCATCCACTACATCAGCCGGGTATTTAAAAGGTCAAGGAGCGTACCGTCGTGGCGCATACGAGTCTGGAGGCATCAGGTAACCAAACGCCTTTTTGGTTTACATCGTTGGAGGGATTTATGAGGTGTTGAAAAATGCGATTGTTCATACTTACTACCGAGCGTATATATGGATCAGTGCATCGTGATGGTAACCATTGTTCTTCTCAATATTCCCTTGTTATTGTATAGTTCACCTTGAAATCTCAGTTGAATCCGGTGAATGTTACTCCAACTTTCCTGCTCTATGGACGGAGTTACTGAACCTTCTCGTCAAGTTTTTAAGCAGCGTTTAAAGAGGGTACACTATGCGGCAGCAGTGGAGTGTACCTTTCAGAAATGGCCAAATTTATGCCATTTGCTTCTGACGATGAATCATTCAGAATAGGTTCATCAAGCTAAAGCAGGAAGGCTCTCTGTTTTTAATTGCGAAGAGTGAAGAACTGCATATCGCTGTCGACACTTTGAATTCTTGCAAATTAAGGCATTCAGAACAGTTCACAGCAATGCCTAACGCGCGCAATGATGTAATTATCTGTTTAGGTCTACGTCAATGGAGAATGAAAGGCCGTTGGTAGCATGCTTCACGCATCATTTAATAACAGCAAGCCTCCAAATGCTATCAACTTGTTCCGCACCTCTTACATTATGATAGCAGGCCGATGTTGACTTTATTTGCTACCTGGCATCTGATAATAAATTGCTTTTTTATGGCAGTATTCGTTAGGCGAACCGTGTTGTCGGTTGTGCTCCAACTATTACCTTACTATCCTACCCACGCTTTTAAGACGTGTACCACTTTATCTCAAAAAGCTGTGCTGTGCGTGCATGTTTGTGGAGGATCAAAACTATTTTTTTAATGAATTTCTTGCAAAAAACCCATCAGTTAGGGTTCAGATTTTTTCTACCCCATATGGTGCAGTTTGGCAGGGCGCAGGCTGACTTCTTCGTAAAGTTGTCAGCACTATTCAACTACTTGGAAGGAAGAGGTAGTCTTACAAGGCAAAGCATGACCTCAAACCGTCGTTAGGCCTGGCTGCTGGAAAGTTTACTTTAGGAATGGATGAGAGAGGAATACTCCTTCGTTCTTTGTAGTTCTTCACTAGCATTCCCCTGAGTGATTATTATCATCCTCTCCTAGTTATAGCATTGGAGGCTCACTAGGCGACATGCAGAATCGAGTAGACAATTTCGTAATAAAAGTAAGATAGGATTGGAAGTGGTTGGAGGTGGACTGCTGGCTTTCAGGGTCGAAGCACTTTATAAAGGTGAAATTGGCAGACCTGTGTAGATTCAATCCATTACCTAGTATTTACTTGTTTGCCTTCTAAAGCGGGGCAAATGTATCATTAATCAGCTTTTATTCCCTTATTTTCGGGTATTGCATTTATTATTTGTCCCTTTATCATGATGAAGGCAGATTACTGTAGCTCCAAATTTTATTTTTTGGCTTACAATCCCTACTGACTTCAGTGCTAAACGAATACAGCAGCACACACACTTCAACGTTATAAGACATGGAAACTCTGAAATGGCATAGTTATTGGGATACATAAAAGTAAGAAGGCTATTTCATACCTGGTGTAAGCAGAAACTCCTGTTATCTTCAAAGAGATCCAATCTCTGAACACTAGAAAGAGCTTTGTCCGTGGCTCGAACCGCTGAAAACGTTATTTCAGTTACGCGGATCGTCAAAGCCGAGGTAGAGACGGGCGAAGTGGCGTTGGAGCACATCGTGTTAGGGGGTTTCTCACAAGGAGGTAGTGTGGCTCTCTACACCGCTCTCACCGACGCCAGTCTGCGCGGTCTGGCTGGGGTGGTGGTGTTCAGCTCCTGGCTACCTCTGGCCCAACAGCTGGTCTCCGACTCTTCTGTGAGTTGCAACACCATTTCTCGCACTTTTCCACTATTTGGGTTGTATTCAACTAAGTTGGGGATCCTTTTGGTTGATTAACTGGTTCTAACTGTTAAGAAGTTATTCTTGTACACCTTCGAATTGTACTGTGCTGAGTGGGTAAGTCTCGTCATCTGTCATCTGGTGATACGTGACAGTTAGCCCCGTTTGCGTAACGTGCCTCCTATGACTTTCTTTTCAGTCGCTGATCTAGGTACAAATCCAACTTTCCTTCTCATTCTTACCGATGATACTCTGATCTCTCATTAATTTTAAGCCTCAATGGCGACACAAGTCTCCGTTCGCTGTGATTGAGAAAAGAATTTCTTCTTACCTACTCCTACGATGGAACCGTTTGTCGTTTCCTCAGGGTGGTACGCTTTTTCTGCTACTACACAAGTGTTAGTAATGACGAGGTTGTAAGGTTTCTACCACATCGCAAATCGCGTTAAATGTAATTCTCTACGTACGCGCAATTGGTTTACCAGACGGTGGAAGAGGCATTGATAAGTGGCGTACATCTACTCTCCGTGACGCTTGTATGCAAAGAGTAACATATTGTTACGATTTTTATCTGTCCTATGTTAAAGTGCAAGTTGTTGGGATCATGTATAACGTAAACTGCATAAACGATTCCAGCCAATTGGCTGCTAGTCACGTGATAATGAATACGCAATTCCTTTGTTAAATGGGCAGTACAAATAGATGGGCTGAATCCTTAAAAGGCCACAATGATGCGATCTGACGGTCTCAATGTCGG